GAGAGAGAGAGAGAGAGAGAGAGAGAGAGAGAGAGAGAGAGAGAGAGAGAGAGACGTTCTTGATCTGTGTAAGAAGAAGAAGAAGAAGAAGAAGAAGAAGTTTGAAGAGAGACAGACACTGTTCATGTACATGAGGTATATACCTTACCGAACCCAACCGAGTTTGTTGGGCTCCTCATCCTCGTCCTCGTCCTCGTCCTCCTTCTCCTCCTCCTTCTCCTCCACCTCCTCCTGCTCCTCACCCGAGAGGCATAGCAGTGCAGTGCAGTGCTTGCTTTGCGGTTAGATATGATGCGTGGGAGCAATTGTGAATTCGTGTTCGCGGGGGCAGTCTTTTGGATAGCGTTTCTCGAAGCACTTGACTGCCTACCTACCTAATTACCTATGTCGAAGCCCTCGAAGGATGCACGAATTGCTGTCGTATATCAGGGACATGTATATTGTCTTCCTACATCCATTCCGATGATTTGCTGCAATCTGGCTACTCTCGCAGCCACCGTTCGTTCTTCTGCCTGTATCTCTCGTCAAGTTTTGCTGCCCCGCACCCCCTCGTTCCTGATTCCTGGTGCCTTAAACCGAGCGCGGTCAGACAAGCAGCCTGATAGCGTTGCGGCTCTGTCGCAGCAAGAGCCTGCAGACTTATGAGTGGCTCGCTTACGGTCGACGCTAGTCAATGGCTGTCGAAATTTCCGATCAACGAGGTACCACTCCTCCAATCGATCAATGGCGTCATTGGCGTTTGACGGGCATTCGCTTGCTTGCGCTCCGTGGGTACATGTGCAAGTGGTGGATTTGCAACATCTGCCACTTCGGGGAGGGTTCGCCATAAATGCTCTCTACCTACTCGCGATCTGCATCGACCCGGTAGAAGAGGATTTTGCAATCTCATCTACTTCTTGCTCATTCAATATGGCGCGCTTCGCTCGGACGTGTTCTGAACTCATATGTCTGTCGAGATCGGGACAGTCGGCATGGAGGGGCCGTGTCGCGGCGCGGCTTTGCGGGATCGTTTTGACTGGCTCGCTTCGGGTGCACGCTAGTTCATGTGTGCTGAAAATGACAAAATCGCAGCAAGACGAGGTGCGCGCTCAACGTCGGCATTCGGACACTCACCGGCGCGGTGTTTAGCGTTTCTCCGCGCTCGGTTGTCGAAGACGGACATCTGATGATGCTGGCGAGGCAACAATCCGCAATGGCAATCAAGTACCATCTTCGCGGTCCGGCGTGGACGTCTCGAGGGAAGTCCTAGATCAGTGTGCGCAGCAGTGGTGAGAAGCTCGACAACGAGGTGTGCGTGTGGCCCAGGATGCCCAGGCCAGCAGCTACGCACCGCTCCGATCAGTGTTCTATCCCTCGGTCAGTGGGCAAGATAGCTCGCTTTGGCTAGGCAGGGTCAGTCTGCAGGTGAAAATCAAGTCGTCTAGACCGCGCCTATACTCTTGCGGGCTGCTTCGTTCATGCCAATGCCACGCCTGGGCTAGATGGACATGGCACCCCCATAGGCTCTACGGGGCCATCTGCGAGGTGAGATGCCTGGTTCACTGCCATCCTGTGTGTCCAAAGAAGCCTACTCCTTTTATTCCACCTTTTTCCACTTTCTCGAGCGAACATGGGCACGGTCGCACTATCTCTTCCACGAAATCGAATGCAAGGCTTGTAAGCCGTGCAGGTCTCGAGCATGCACGGAAGACCTCGCTCCTCATCGTGTCCAATTGCGTACATGTCAAGGCACATTATCTTGGGAGGACAGCTAATATCCCGACTCTTTGCTCTTGCGAATGTTCGCTCGGGGTGTGCGATATACGGTCTCGACGGTGATGTAGCCTATAGAGAAGAATTCTGGCTCGAGGATATGCCATATCGCTCACGTCAAAAATTGATAGAATGACAAGAAGTCATTATTGGGCTAGGTACAGACCAGACGGGAACACGAGGAGCACAAGATGTCGTGTCTTCGCCAAGACGCTAGCATTGATGACTTTTGATTCAGCATTGAAAGGCCACCCAAAGGGGTTGGAAAAGGGCGATCATTGCGACTTCACCTCCGTCCCATCACCATCTACATCTCGTATCTATGCTTCTGCGCATCATCCGCTGTCTGTTCCGGTTCGTATCTCAGCTATAGCGGCATCCGGTTTCTTTGATGTCCATTCTCTCCAGAAGCCGTGGCTTCTCCAATCTGCCAGCGACTCCAATCTCGCCCCCGACGTCGTGATCATGCATGATGCATGATCCAGCTCCCCGTATCCCTCAAGACACGAGGCTAGCTCGAGGTATATGCACCCGCGGACACCCAGATTCTATGTCTCGTGGCATCTGTATAAGAGCAGGAGATATAGCACACGCTGTGAATGATTGGAGTTGAAACGCACACGGAACTGTCTGGAATGCCGAATGTGATACGGCGGCTTCCAGTCGCGTGAGTTCATGGAAGTGCGGTCGGGATGTGGCAACGTTTTGGGATATGTTTACTTGCATACCTCAAGCAGACGTGCACCACGAAGACTTTGCATCGCTGCTGACAGGACTCAGGGCGGTGTACAATACGAGAAATGGTGAGCAGAGAGGCAACGGAGAGCTGCCTACCTTGGCGATATGGAAAACTTACATTCTAGGCAATGCGAAGTGCAACAACATCAATACCTGAGGATTACACCTAGACTCATATTTCCTGATGCAGTCCTGATGCAGGTGCAAAGCCTCTAGGAAGTCTGATGTCCATGCCAGCTGTGGTCCGGTCGGTCCTCCGTAAATAATGGACACGAGTGGATCCCAGGCCGTGATCCTTCAAGTCGACATCAAATTCACCAGAGGCCATTGTTGGTTACACAGCATGGATTGAGAACGCCTTTCGCATAATGGCCCAATGCAGCTCATGGGATGACAGCAGCGCCAAAGGCCGGTGGCTGGGTATTGGTGAGAATTGCCGCGAGAGGGTTTTCAGCTTCGAGAGTCGCTCGAGCGCTACGCCAGCTACCAAGATTCCGGGCCCCCCGCTATGCCATGTGCCCTCTGGCTTCTTCTATCCATCGAAGCCGCAAGCGAACGACAGGTACAATCGGAAGGTTGTCATCACTCTGGCCCAGATCCAGATGAGCGCCGGTCGAAGAGGCTGTGAGCTGTGATGGATGTGATCCCTGGCAGAGCAGAGATGTATGACGGCGCCGAGCGAACCTTTGGGCTATGGGACCTCTGCTTGGTATAGACGGCAAAGGACATCCTCGTATGACACGAGTTCGACTGGAAGTCCCAGGACTACCTGATGACGCGACGACAGCTTCGTTGCGCGAATGTGCGTAGTAGTGCGCAGCAGTCAGCTTCGTCATGTTGCACGTGTTGGAGGCCTAGATCGTCGATGGATCCTACTCACTCCATGCGACTCTCGGTCTGTCACAGTGTTGTCAGTGTCACTACTTCTGCTCGGATTCCCGGAGAGCAGGGAATCAGCAGTGCTGCGTGGCAGTGCGCTGCACCACCCCTAGCTTGTGACTAGTGAGACAACAACAATCTCAGAACTCTGTTGCCGAAAACAGTCGCTATACCTGGTAGATAATTGCCTCATCGACGTATTGGGGTCGCCCTGTTGTACTTGAACGACCTGGCACCCACGATACGTATATTGTCACATTCTGCTGTAGCGGTCCAGTGACGCTCTTGATGGTGTCCTACTGGTGCTCGTATTTTGATTGAAAAGACTACTTTTCACAGTGTGCATTTGCTGCCACCCTGTATGCGGCACGTTCGGCGTGCTCTTCGGGTTTCTCTCTCTCTCTATCGCACGTCTCTCTAACCATCATCATTCGGATTGCAGCTCTTCCGCGGTCGAGCTCGGTATACCAGGAATGCCAGGACCGCAGCAAGTAACCTTAAATGAAATCCCTTGACATTTGGCTCCGGCGCCCCGGCAGGGTTATGTAACTTGTGTATACGGAAACCTGGGGATGACGAAGGTGAGATTGGATGTGATGAGTGGCGTTAGCGCCTTGCTAGGACCTGGGAGCTGGGAGCTGGTGTTGGTGATGATGATTTTGGAAAATATTCATTCGATCATTTATCGTGCAGAGCGTGGTATGGGGAGAACTTGAGATGCTGTGGAATGTGGCCATCTCAACTGTCACAGGGTCATTTTCACTCGTTCCTACTACTAACTACAGCATGTAGTACTAGTGGAAAAGGATCATCGATCAAAATGGAAACCCTTGCAAGGCCTGAATCAGTATTGAAATAGGTTGACTTAGACTTCCCAGATCCCTGGCACGTGGCTCACAACGGCCGGCCGGCTCTCGTGGGAACATTTCAGATTTCTCTGCCAAGGCCCCAGCCCAGGCCACTTTTTGAGTTCTGACAACGATGCATGACCCCTGATTCCTGAAGACTCCTGTATGTGTCTCCCTTTCCTCCTTACCCCGTATGGATGGATTCCTGGTACGAACGAGGACATTCAACGCCAAGTCATATCCCGGAAGACCACTCTCGATGCCTAGCGGATGGGCGTGTATTGGGTCAACCAGGGTGATGACAGGTTGCTCTCATTATTAGGTATTTAGAAAAGTACCTACATATAGTTTCGTCGTCGACAAGCATGTTCTGATTATTCTTATTATTATCATTCTGTTCTCCCTCTGCTCGACGATTTTTCCCCAACTGATATCTCCGGTCACTTTCTTCCCACCGCCATCAACATCATCAACAACACTACCTATATACCTCACGGCAAGCAAGAAAGTACCATCGCAAATACCATCATCACGATGTTGGCCTCTTCCTTCCTCCTCGGCCTCTGTGGCTTGACCACCTTGGTCGCTGCCACCCCGACCGATCCACCCGTCGATGCCCCAGAACCAAAGGCAGACCCCGTTTCTTGCCCATTCAACGGCACAGTTGGTCCTATGCTCATGTTGGCCAACGTAACGTAAGTTTTTCCATCCAGCATCTCATATATATATATATATATACATAAAAAAAAAAGAAAAAAGCTAACCCCTCTCCCCCAGCCTCCCCGACAACACCTTCGAAATCAACGCCTGGATCTACGGTCTCAACTGGTGTTCCTCGGCCAACCTCATCTCGCGCAACAACAACGACATCTGCGACCTACCCCCGACAGGCCCCAACACGGCCTTCGAATTCATGCACGCGCCCATGTTCAACAAATTCGGCCGTCCCGTCGAGGGTTGCTACGCCAATATGGATGTGCTGTTCCAAGGCTGCGACATTACCATGGGAGGCTCCGTCACGGATTATGGAGCTGTGGTGGCGCAGTTTACGAGCAAGGATAAAATGTCGCAGTATACGTATCAGTGTGTGCAGGATGTCGAGTATCATGGTTGTGTGTATAATTCGCAGGTGCAGCCTTTTAGTGAGATTAAGTATGAGGCGTTTATGAGTGTAAGTTTGGGGATTTCTTTTTTTTTGGTTTGGTTGGAGTGGGATTTCTGTTTTGCTGACGTGAATTCTTCGTTTACAGTGCGGTATTATTGCCGAGCCATAAACGACCAAGATGAAAAGGTTTCAAGATGGACGGATGGGAAGAGGGGAGAACGACTGATACCAAGAAAGAATCTCATGAACGACAACAACGACAACAACAACCAAAATGAATGCATACTTAGCCCTTCCAACAAGAAACGACGCTGATCAGTTAATGAAGAAAAAAATCGGGTTTTCTTTCCAAGAAGCAGAGAAGAGAGCAAAGCAGCAATCGCAGCAATAATATTTTCTTGGGCACTAACTGATTCTGCCATTTCTTCTTGTCTTGCCTATCCTTGTCTGTCTAACCCTAAGATATCTTCTTCTCAGGAACGCCGTAATGACAGAACAACTTCTTCTTTTTCTTACACGCTTTCGCAGTCCTCTACGACTTCGCATCAATTCGCAACTTGTTCCAGTCATGTTCTCTGTCTTTTACATGCCCATCGCCCCCCGCCTCTCTCTCTGGATTATACAACCTATCCTGAAAAGCCTCTGATTGATTCCCTCGTATGACAAACATGAACCGTACATCGGCATGCATGCTCAGTACTACCTACTCTGCTTCGGCAAGTCCGCGCTTGCTCGGCACGTGCACGGCTACAGAAGAAGAAGAAGGAAAGAGAAGACTTAGACCATGCTCATCTCGAGCCTCTCTTATCTTATCCAGCAATTCCTCTTACATGTATTCCCTCATACGACATAAATCTACCTATCTACCTTGACTACCGTGCGTCGACGTGCATGCTCCGTGCCCACCTACCCCTAGTTCGGCAAGTCCGCGGCTACGGCAGAGGAAGGGAAAAGAAAGAGGTTGAGGTATGCTCGCTTGATTTCCGCAAAGTTCCCAGTTGAGCGCAACTCGTCATAGAAAGTCTTTCGACGGCTAGAACGCTTTGGAATCACTCGTATCATCTGTCGTCGTCGCCTATCAGGTCACGTATCTAGTGAGCGATTTCGACCGCAGAATTTTGGCCGTGAACGTGACCGTGAACGTGACCGTGAACGTGGCCGTGACCGTGGCCGTGGCCGTGGCCGTGGCCGTGGCCGTGGCCGTGGCCGTGACCGTGGTGGCCGTGAACGTGGCCGTCCGTGACCGTGGCCGTGACCGTGG